TAATGTGATTAGTCGGTATTTATTAGTATTTTTGACTATGGTATTTTATTACTTACCGAAATAAAGTCACACTGCAGCACTTTTGCACATTGTGATTAGCTCAAACTTTGAGCCTCAAAGTATTTTCTTAAATTAAAATGAATAAACAATTAATAACAAATACAATACGCTTACTTCGCATAGGCAGTGGAATTAAATGGCAAGCGCCCGCCTTAACAGCGGTGCGTCAATATGGTGAGTGAAGAGAGAGCAAGGCACAAATCAACAACAGTGGGATAGATTTCATAACAGCCGGCAACAAAAACAAGTCGAAATAAAAAAGGAAAAATACAAGAGAAACAAATCATATTCCTCTTCCATTAGCCACACCGCCAAAGCGCTTCTATAAGACGACGAATGTGCTGAGCACAGACTCTGGATATGAGGTGACATTGGATCATCGCAAGCTGAAGACACCAAACGGCACATTGTTTACGGTGAAGAGTGAACCGTTAGCCATTGCTGTTGCTACCGAATTCGATGCCCAGAAGGAACACATCGAACGCTCACGCATGCACATTTCAGCCCTTTGCTTTACGGCTATTGACAATCCCAATAAGCTGACGAAACCCGATATGGTGAATTACCTGCTAAATTTCATAGCCACTGACACGGTGCTATTCCAATACGATGTAAGCACTAACCCGAGTTAATCAGTTTTCGATTGATAAGTTTTTCTAATTCCCTTGAATCGTTGCGCGCAGAATGAAAAGGATCTGCAGGAACTGCAGCAAAATGAGTGGGATCCCGTCATCGATTGGTTTAATCAGCGTTTCGAAACGAATCTGCAGAAAACGATGGACATAACACCACCCCAAGTCAGCGACGAGGATAAAATGAAAATAGCCAAGCATTTTCACTCGTATAGCTTGGAAACGCTCCATGGTAGATCGATAAATTCCTTGATCCCTTGAATATTTGTAATAACAATTATTGATTTTAGGCTACATTTTCGCTGTGGACACGCTGAAATCTATCGTGTTAGCCTGCGCTGTCATTGAGCAAAAGATTACAGTGGAGCGAGCGGTTGCTCTTTCGCGTCTTGAGGAGGAATATCAGCTGAAATTTTGGGGTCGCGTCGAATGGGCGCACGATTTTAGTCAACAGGAGCTACAGGCACGCTTAGCTGCCGCCGTACTCTTTGTGCACTTGAATTGTTCCGAAAACTTTATCAAACAAAAGTCGATAATATAAGTTGTTAATATCTAAGAAGAAATATAGCTTTATTGACCACTGTTAAAATTAATTGGAAAATTATCATTTAGCTGTTCAATTCCAGCGGTGTGGCAATATGAGTATGTTAAGTAAGCAGTGGTAAACTGCTTGCACGTACATATCTTGTAGGACTGTGTGGTAGTCGTGCAAGCAGTCCAGTGCTATATAGCTGTCTCGCTTGCACAATTTTGGCTCCAATTAGAATTTTATTCAAATATTTTTGTTTTATTTACATTGTGTCACTCACAGTGTATTTCCCGTTTCCTATAAGCGATGTAAACAAGTGCCATCTCGCTTACACCAGTCAGGCGCCAACTTGTATTCCATTCAAATGCTCATTTACACTTTACACTCGCAGCTTTAACTGTGGTACTAATACGTCAACGGGCCATAGCGCACGTTACCATCGCAGAAGAAGCGATGTACAAACCGTGTGCTTTGGCTTTATTGAAGATAGCTCTCGTGTCACAGTCATATGTGTGCGTGCGTGTTTATGTGCTTAGGTATGCACACGGCTTTCTCAATGCACACTTGTACAGTTACTGTGCTTTGATTTTTTTTTCATACTTCAGACTGTCAGTCTTATCGCGCTGTCCGTCACTTATCTGTTGTTTGCTTTCAGTCTTATCGCCGCTGATCTCCGGCTGTGTCTTCGCAGCTTCGCTTTCGACATATCCAGTTGATCTATAAGCAACTACGACAGTTGATTGAGAGTGTTTCCATTGTGAAGTTGCATTTAAAGTTATTTTTGTGTGTTGTTTCTTCTTTCACTTCTTCTTCGTCAGCTTTTGCTGTTTGTATTTTGTGCGCATTTTGTTATTGTATAATAATGTCGAAGAACGAAGGCACGCCGATTGTGACGTAAGTTTTCGAAGGGATGCAGGCGGCTGGAGGTCGCTGCAGCAGCAAAAAAGTTTTTGCTGCAAGAGTTTTTGCATTAAGCGAGGGAAAAATTCAAGTAGAAAATCTTAGCAAATTAACATAAAGAGCAGCAAAGTCGCCAAATGAGCTGCTGATTTGTTAAATAGCCGTAAAAGCGCCCGACCGTGGGATCCTCGACAACTGTCAGAGGTGTGAAAAGGCCTCGAAAAGTTCGTTTGCCAAAGAGCGAGACTTATAGTAGAAGAGTTGCAGCTGTAGTAGTAGATGTAGTAGTAGTAGTAGTAGTGGTAGCTGCTCACTTCACTTCACTTCACTGTTTTTTTTTTTGCTGCTGATTCTTTCTACTCCTTTTTGTTGCTGCGGCAATTGCGTTGCAAACTTGCAGAGCAAGTAGTTTAGCGCCATTTGCACTTTTCGTAGTAAAAATTACGCGAGCACACACACACACACACACATACACACACCCACATACAGCAAACTTATCAACGGCCACATCAGACAGACGTGCACATGTGTGATGAAGTTGGGCGCGAAGGCGTGGCATTAAGTAGTCGCCCGTAGTTTGAGTTAAGTAACAAAACTTCAAATTGAATTTTTCGTTGCAGCTTTCATTTTAGCACCTATCACAAAAAACTTCCCTCACCCATGCCGCGCTCTCTTATACTCATGCTCGCGCGCTCTTTGTCTTTTATATTCCTGCTGCTCATTACGCGCTTTGCTGTTGGAGAGTGGGAGAGAGTGGTGTGCGTGTGTGTGTGTGTGTGTGTGCATAGCAAGCGTTTACATTGTGTCGGCATCCGATTTAATTCTCTATTGTTGTCCTATCCCTTTCGCGCTGCAGCAACTTGCGCCTCTCAGGCTAAAAATAAACAAAGAAAACAA